CTAGGTACCGCTTTTAGAGCAGTAAAATAGCGGTTTCCCCGGTAACGCAAAGCAGCACTGCGCTCACAAACGCTGCTTTATCAGGCATTACAGGCATGATGAAATAAAAATGAGACCAATCGGACCAATCACCGCAGATTAGCGTCATGCAAAGAACGGGTTTGGACAAATTAATTGTTAAAGGAATCGTTTGGGAGTCGTTGAGTAAGTAAGGTAAAAATAAATGCATATTATAAGACAATGAAAGTGTTTTTTGAACTTGCATGCATGTCAACCTGTTGTTGGGGACCCCCAAAATCAAAATATGAACCTTTCATTACCCATAATAGGGGCACTTTAAAAGAAGAAAAAAAACCCCACATGCATGAATGAATTGTTCATAGTAAGATCAATATTTGCATGTATTTTCACTTTGTGATGACTTTAAGTGTAATGGTGAAAAGGAAGATTATCAGTACATAAATTTGTGTATAAATTTTGTTCTTCACACAAAAGTATCATATGGACCTGGAAAATTGCATTAATCACTTTTATGGTGCTTTATTGTCCTGTTTTTATTTCTATTGACTGAAGTGAGTTTTAAGTAGAAAAGGTCAAGGAATCAACAGGCACTAAATGTGAGAGGCGTGTGCTAAAAATGGCAGGTTGGTGTATTTGTCATGGTAAAGTGCGGTGACAATAAAGGTTACCTTAAGACTAGGGGGTGATGCGGGTGAAGTGATTTTGCTGGAAACTTTGCTCATGTGCATTGCAGTTTTGTGTGGGTGTGTGATGTGACACATTAGTGATTAATGTAGGCTTAAACATTCATTTCCTCTGTTATCGTTCTATTTTTAAATAGATTTACATTTACATTGACATTTAGCAGACGCTTTTATCCAAAGCGTTTTTTTGGAACTTATGAGGTCATGTTTTAAAAGAGCAGCATAAATAATCTTTTTAAAACATCTCTGTGTCCTACAGAAGAATTCCACACAAATTTAGAACAACATGAGGAGGATGAGTAAATAATGACAGATGATGAATGATTTTTGGTTTACTTTTAGGGGAGCTATTCCTATACCCTTTTCAGGAAAAGTGCTTATTTCAGGCAAAAGCTATATTTGGGAAGCATTATGGGTACGATGCTCTAAAATCTGCCTCCTTGCATTATGTGGTTTGTATCTGGTTGCCTCGATGAAAATGATTCAGCTCAGAAGCAGTGATTTTCTGGGACATAATGATAAAATGAAAGAATCCTGGTCTCCACTCCACTAGTTTACTGATGTTGTGCTGCTTGTCAGTGGCACTCAGGGCACGTGGGTCTAGCTGTATTTATTTTATGTGCCCTTAGAGCCAACATCTGTGAATAATGTTTGAAAAGCAGGCAGAAATTTCAGCTCTCTGTTGTGGTTTGCATGGCCTGAATTGAAGTTGACTCCCAACTGATCTTACTGTGAACAATTGACCCTTTCTGTCTCACAGACTGCAGATTGCCATGAATGGTTGGCATCACATTCACTTTTGCACAGAACATACAGTAAGTGAAAGAAATGGGAATACTTAAGCTATAGAACCGAAACTCCTTCCTTCCTCTCTTTCTTTTCAGTATTGAGTGGGACCGCATATAGAAGACAAGTAGTATAGTCGTTTATGGACTCTGTGTGGCAGATGTACATCTACGTTGGCATTGTTGTCTGCTAAAATCAAACACCTAATCTGTCGACTCTTTAAATCTCTTTTACGCTTTAGTTTCTCTCGTTGGCATTCATTTCTTTCACATTTTCCTGACATTCATTTCTCCCCCTCAACTTTTTGCATTGCTTGTCATTTGCATTTCCTGTGAATGTGTGTACTGTGGTATTGACAAATGTGAAATAAGAGATATTGAGCTTGAATGTGAGGTATTGATTGTGTAGAGCAGTGGTCTGGTTTTTATTTCTATTGACTGAAGTGAGTTTTAAGTAGAAAAGGTCAAGGAATCAACAGGCACTAAATGTGAGAGGCGCAAAGAAAAACAAGTAGATAGAATAGAAAAAATAGAAAGCTAGTGTCTGTTTTTTGTTGTTTTTTTAAATAAAAAAAGAAGATAAATATAGATAAAGTAGAATTAAAATAGAATAGAAAGAGTTAGAGGGTCAAATAAAGGTGGAACAGATGTGTTTTTAGTCGTTTCTTGAAGATGGTTAAGGACTCAGCTGCTGGGATTGAGTTGGGCAGGTCATTCCACCAGGAGGGAACAGTTAATGAAAAAGTCTGTGAAAGTGATTTTGTGCCTCTTTGAGATGGCACTATAATACGCCGTTCACTTGCAGAACGCAAGCTTCTAGAGAGCACATAACTCTGAAGTAATGAATTTAGGTAAATGGGTGCAGAGCCAGTGGTGGTTTTGTAGGCAAACATTAATGCCTTGAATTTAATGCGAGCAGCTAGCCCGTGCAAATTGATGAACAGAGGTGTGACATGCGTTCTTGTCGACTCATTAAAGATTAATCTTGCAGCGGCATTTTGGATTAATTGTAGAGGTTTGATAGAAGTGGCTGGAAGACCTGCCAAGAGAGCATTGCAATAGTCCAGCCTGGATAGAACAAGAGCTTGAACAAGTAGTTGTGCTGCATGTTCTGAAAGAAAGGGCCTGGTCTTCAAATAGATGACCACATTATAGATTTTAATGACTAATGAAATACCCACAGTGTGTCTATTTATATACAGATGAGGTATTAGTTTAAAAAAAAAAAACGTATTAAAGATATACTTTATTTTACACCAGCAGTTATACATCAAGCTCTCCTGCGGTTTATTCTTGATCTGTAGCATGACAACTTGACTCCAAATATGCATAGTTCCATACTATAGGGGAAAAACAGTGAAAGAGTACAGAACATATATGAATTCACAATATAACAGTAGGTTTAAATGACTAAAAATGGCTTATTTTTTTGTGAGTTGGTTTAAAAAATGCAAAAGATTAAATGATAAAAAAGTACAATAGAATAATCTAAGACATTGAAAACAAAACACATACTAAAAAGCCAGATATAGGCCTATATTATAAATAATTTACTTCCAAGTAAATATTTTAGGTTAAATTATTTCAGCTGTACGCAGCTCATTAAAAAGTGTCATTAGAGGTTTTACCGCACAGGTTACGTGTTTGACTGTGTGTGTGTGTGTGTGTGTGTGTGTGTGTGAGCGAGCAAGAGAGAGAGAGAGGTGTGTATTTCCCTCTCCCCCTCCGAACCCAATTTCACTCTACACGTCGTCTCCGTGATCTTCACCAGCAGTGCTCGTTACCAAGACAATCACGGATAACGAGGCTCGTCGTTCCGTCCCCGTGTCTCCTGTTACCGGAGTCTCGGGAATGTCGAATCCCAGGAAAGACTTTGACGTGAAACAGATCTTGCGCATCCGTTGGCGATGGTTCGGCCACCCCACGTCTCCTCCTTCTCCCGGTAACCAGCCTTCGGGAGATCTCTTCAGCAGCAGCGGTGGTAAGAGCCGGGGGACCGGAGGCTCCTCATCAGGCGGTGATCAGCCTTCCCTCGGCGGCTGCAGCAATTCCAGCGCCGCCGCCGGTGCCAGTTCGTGTAACGGCAACTCTTCCTCCAACACAAACAACAATCGAAAGTTTGGAGATTCGGATCCAAATAGCGGGCACTCAGCAGCGGCAGCGGTGGTAGTTACTGCCTCCGCGTGTCCTCGGTCCATGAGCCAGCAGGAGTGCCGGAGCTCCCCGCCGGCGCCTTGGGTCTTCCCGGCTCACTCGCGCTCCAGCGAGAGCCTGGAGCCGCTCCTGCAGCTGAAGCAGCAGCAGCAGAAGCAGAAGCAGAAGCAGCAGTCCACGCGTGTAAAAGATGCCCCTGGCCCTGGAGACGAGGAGAACAACAATAACGTGGAGTCTGACTCCAGCTCGTGCAGGTATGGGAAGCATTACTGGTGTGGTTCCAGTCGAGCACAGCAGGGCGCTTGTACTGAGCTGCTACCACTTCACAACAGATGTATCGCCAGCTGTTTTCTATTCAGATTAAACTATGTTACCACAAGCCCTCCCTTTTGTTTCCTCACACTCTCTCTGTATGATAAACAGTGCATATGGTATATTCAAATAATTAACTGAATGACAAAAACAAATATTTAATATTAGGTAAATGTTTAACTTTTAAACACTCATAAACAGACACGAATGCGCTTGGATTTATTTATAATCTAGTATCAGAGATTACAGTCTGTTTTATATCAATTGTGCTGTTATATGTTGGAGAAATGGTCATTATGTTGAATACAGCTCACTAAAGTATGAATTTGATGCGAGATAACGTCAATTGATATGTTTTTTACATGTTCTGCAGTGTGACATAATTATTTAATAAATATTTAGCATGAAGCTTTTACGACCTCATATTAATTGAGAGATTACATGCAGTGTTTGTACTTATACAAATTAATTTGTCACACTGCAGGATAATGTAACGAGCTAGTGATGGCAAAAAGGATTATTTGAAATATCGCAAAAGCAAATCTTTATCAGTTATCGGAAGAATTGCACCACACCTCTGGTTTAGGAGGTTGAATTGACAACAGCGGTCATATATTTCATAGCTTATTGTGTATGTCTTATCGGATGTGTTATTGGGTGTGGTGTTACTAGCTCAACTAAAAATTACAATTCTGTCATCATTTACTCAGTATCCACCATTCCAAACCTGAACGAGTTCCTCTGCAGAACACAAAATATATATTTTTAAAGGGGTCATATGATGCGATTTCAATTGTTCCTTTCTCTTTGGAGTGTTACAAGCTCTTGGTGCATAAAGAAGATCTGTAAAGTTGCAAAGACTAAAGTCTCAAATCCAAAGAGATATTCTTTATAAAAGTTAAGAGTCAGCCACGCCCCCCTAAAACAGCTCGTTCTATCACACCCCACATGTCTACGTCACTGTGTGGGAAGATTTGCATAACGCCGCCCAAATGTTCACGCAAAGAAAGAAGGCGTAACTTTTATTCTCGCCGGAGTCTCGGGAATGTCGAATCCCAGGAAAGACTTTGACGTGAAACAGATCTTGCGCATCCGTTGGCGATGGTTCGGCCACCCCACGTCTCCTCCTTCTCCCGGTAACCAGCCTTCGGGAGATCTCTTCAGCAGCAGCGGTGGTAAGAGCCGGGGGACCGGAGGCTCCTCATCAGGCGGTGATCAGCCTTCCCTCGGCGGCTGCAGCAATTCCAGCGCCGCCGCCGGTGCCAGTTCGTGTAACGGCAACTCTTCCTCCAACACAAACAACAATCGAAAGTTTGGAGATTCGGATCCAAATAGCGGGCACTCAGCAGCGGCAGCGGTGGTAGTTACTGCCTCCGCGTGTCCTCGGTCCATGAGCCAGCAGGAGTGCCGGAGCTCCCCGCCGGCGCCTTGGGTCTTCCCGGCTCACTCGCGCTCCAGCGAGAGCCTGGAGCCGCTCCTGCAGCTGAAGCAGCAGCAGCAGAAGCAGAAGCAGAAGCAGCAGTCCACGCGTGTAAAAGATGCCCCTGGCCCTGGAGACGAGGAGAACAACAATAACGTGGAGTCTGACTCCAGCTCGTGCAGGTATGGGAAGCATTACTGGTGTGGTTCCAGTCGAGCACAGCAGGGCGCTTGTACTGAGCTGCTACCACTTCACAACAGATGTATCGCCAGCTGTTTTCTATTCAGATTAAACTATGTTACCACAAGCCCTCCCTTTTGTTTCCTCACACTCTCTCTGTATGATAAACAGTGCATATGGTATATTCAAATAATTAACTGAATGACAAAAACAAATATTTAATATTAGGTAAATGTTTAACTTTTAAACACTCATAAACAGACACGAATGCGCTTGGATTTATTTATAATCTAGTATCAGAGATTACAGTCTGTTTTATATCAATTGTGCTGTTATATGTTGGAGAAATGGTCATTATGTTGAATACAGCTCACTAAAGTATGAATTTGATGCGAGATAACGTCAATTGATATGTTTTTTACATGTTCTGCAGTGTGACATAATTATTTAATAAATATTTAGCATGAAGCTTTTACGACCTCATATTAATTGAGAGATTACATGCAGTGTTTGTACTTATACAAATTAATTTGTCACACTGCAGGATAATGTAACGAGCTAGTGATGGCAAAAAGGATTATTTGAAATATCGCAAAAGCAAATCTTTATCAGTTATCGGAAGAATTGCACCACACCTCTGGTTTAGGAGGTTGAATTGACAACAGCGGTTCATAGCTTCATAGCTTATTGTGTATGTCTTATCGGATGTGTTATTGGGTGTGGTGTTACTAGCTCAACTAAAAATTACCATCATTTACCACACCTACAGACATCACATTCACACTTAACCCAGGTACTGATAGCATGAACAATGACCATCAATTAAAGGGGTCATATGATGCGATTTCAATTGTTCCTTTCTCTTTGGAGTGTTACAAGCTCTTGGTGCATAAAGAAGATCTGTAAAGTTGCAAAGACTAAAGTCTCAAATCCAAAGAGATATTCTTTATAAAAGTTAAGAGTCAGCCACGCCCCCCTAAAACAGCTCGTTCTATCACACCCCACATGTCTACGTCACTGTGTGGGAAGATTTGCATAACGCCGCCCAAATGTTCACGCAAAGAAAGAAGGCGTAACTTTTATTCTCGCTGTAGTATTGTTGCTGCCGCCGCCATGTCGTGAAGTTGCTGTGTTTCGTTGTGAAAGCGAAACTACTTTGTTTGGTCTTCCAAAAGAGGACGATATCGCTTCGTCAT